ACAGTCAATCAGAAAACATCTGTCTCTCCATCAGGTACACAATACTGAAACTGAGAGTACAAAAAGTAATACTTTAACTATCTATCTCTTAAGATTTTTAAAAATAAGGTGAGGGGACCCACACTTGGTTGTGCAGGTTTTGTCTATGTCTTTGCCCTTTGTAGGAATAGTGTTAGATATAACTTAAGATATTTAGATATATTACAGATGGAAAATCGAATATGGTTCTTATCTATGAATTATTTGTGTTGTATGGCTGGATGTCTTTGTTACCTATGTGAAAATTTAATAAAGAACAATTTGAAAAAAAAAAAAAAAAAGAAAGTGAATCTTTAAAGGTATATTTATTACTGGTGGATTGGCACCTTCTAAGTTTGTTTTAGTTTCCATTTATATAGTAGCGCTACACCGTTGGATATATTAGAACTTGTGGTGTGTATTTGAAAAGATAAACACATGGTGACACAGGAGCTGATTGGACTACTTATATATTCGTACTACATGTGGATAATACGGATAAAAATTATCGCTAGTGCACTATAATTTTGTATTGTATTCTAAGGTTACAAATATACCAAAAAGAAAACAACCAGTGACCCCATACAAGGTTAGTGAAACTGAAGTAAACCTAAACATATGTAAAAGATACCAATACTACACATACATATATTTAATAGCATATAAAGAAAACATATACAAGGAACATGACTTATTAAAACTACACAAAGTTAAACAGATAACAAGGAAACAATGTATCAGTGTCAAAACTACACTAAAACTGCTACACAATAAATTGCAACAGAAGAATATTTTGTAAAATTAAGGAAGCAAAATGTAACACGTCTCTGACAGCTGGTTCTTGAATGCATGGCACACATATAACTTCCAATTTATATACACGACTAGCATACAATCTTCTTACTGAGGTGGGTGTTTAATCCTGTCTAGGAGTGTGGTTGTAATCTGTAAAAAAAATAGAAATAGATAAGGAATGGACCGAAAAAACCACAAGATAAACTTAACATCTTGAGAAAGCAAAACTACCACTAACAGGCAAAACCCTAATACTAAGGGAGTGTGGGACAGACGCTATTGCTCAGTGGTTATGCTGATCACTAAGGCAAAATAAGTTTGCAAATCATAGATTCCATAGATTGCTGCAAACTCTGCTTTGACCACTGGGAGTAATAATCACCTAGCAAAGATAGTGGGTAGTAGAGCACACAACTGGTGGTGGTCCAAAGAAATTTAAGGTGTCAAACTTCTGATGGTCTACAAGGTTTTACTGGACGACCATTTTGCAGCTTTCAACATAATAGGGAGGAGAAGACCCTTTACTGCTGCTTTAGTAGCGGAGACACACCCTGATAGTGTGACCATTAAAAAAAAGAAATGTCAAGACCAGCCAAAGATATAGGTCTATCAAATTCCTCTTATCGTGTTCTGGGCTATAAACGCACCCCAACCGTGATTTGATAAAATTTTCTAGAACTGGACCAGGTTTGAAAAGATGAATGAGCAAATGGTCTAGAAGATGAAGGAGAAGGACTATCTAGCCCCCAATGAGATTTGTCCTTTTTCTCTGAAAGGGGCTTCTGGTGCTCAATACCCTCTTACCCTTATTGCATCTAGTCCCTTTAATTTTTCACTTACTCAAACAAGTATGAGGGGAAGGAGTATGAAATAAATGATTCTCAGATATGGAACTGGTGGAAGAAAGCAGGCTTCTTTGCATATTCCGCCTTTTATGTGGAACTGGGACAATATCCTCCACCTTTTTAGAAGAGGATAGGTCACAGGAAAGGATTTCTATGGAGCCTTCTAATATTGGTGGGGCTGCCTCTAGGAGAGGCATGTACCATATTTGTGGCAGACATGGATATGGAGTCCTCCATCAATGATGTCATTTTAAAAATCTGAGGTAATCAGGGTTCCCACACTCGGTTGTTCTGATTATCTGCTTTGTTGAAACACACAGCAGCAGAGCACTAGCAATTTTTCAGCTCTAGCAATTATCTACAAATATATGTGTATATATATATATATATATATGTATATTTATATGTACGCAAAGGCTGTACATATGCCATCATGCATATTCTGGATTCTTGGATGTGAATTCATGCATTCTTAAACTGTGTAATTAATTTATTTTTAACTATACCCAATCTAGTCTCATCTCCTACACTGTTTGTTTTTTTTCTCTCTCGCCCCCTCACTTGGATTCTTACACAAAATATTGATGACCCTCTGCGAGAATGGTGTCTATTTTCTATCAGGCCTGTATCTTATCTGCATTCATGTCTCTTTAACTCCAGTATTACAACTCAAATTTGAATTCTATGTGTCGTTTTTGCTCATAAAATCTTTAGACTTGAGAAAGGGAGGTTCTCCAGAAAGATTATGTACAGAAAAATAGGGGATAATCTGCTAAATCAATGACAAGAACAATACATAGCGCATAACTGTGAATATGAATAAACCAAGTGTACAATTCACAAATGGCCACTCACACTCTCGCTGGAATTAGAAAGCCTTTAGAATAAATTCCTTTTTCAGCATGAATGCCTTTGAAGAAATAATTCTTCCATCTCTATTCAATATCTCATGGATTGGCTGAAAGGAGTGTGCTCAAAGAAAAAACAATAAAATTGTAGTGCACATTTAAAAATGTAGAAAAAATAATTTAATAATTTACATCAAGATATAAAACAATAGATGTAGTCTCACTGTCACCACCAGGGGTCCTACGCGTTTCGTCCGTGTATAGGACTTCCTCAGGGACTTCAGTGACCAGAAATGACAGCATACAAATAAGCAATAAAAATCCCTTTCCTCCTCCACCCTTTATACCTCCCCCAATGTCCACATAACTCTTCATTCAATCCAGGTGTTTCAATTTTCGGTCCGGCGTCCATGACGGCATCCTGTGCGCCCGTCAATCCCATATGCGTTCCACTGACGAAACCCGTAAATTCGCCGTAACTGATCTGTTTCTTCTCTATGTTCCTCTTAGGAACAAGCAAATTCCATATGTGTGGACCGGAGGCGAAGAAGAGAGGGGGGAGGAGGGGATGTTATACACTCAAAATGGCACTACAATGTTTAAATATGCTATTTACACATAGCTTTGGCAGCCTGCTTACAGTATTATACAAACAAACTAAATAATACCAATACATAAAACATGCTATTATTTAAATTAGAAAAAATATGAGAATAATATAGATTAAATATTTTTAAAATATTAAAAAATATATATATTTGACCACCGGTCAAACGCCCGCTTCCTTTTCCGGAACAGCTAGGAGAGCGCATTTCGGTAGTTTTGTTCACACGAGCGAGGGGAACAATCGCTGCTATGAGCCAGAGGGATCCATTTGTGCATTAGTTCGTTTATTTGGACTTAACGAATTAGACCGACCGTACAGCCTAAAATCATGGAGCGGTTTTGTGCAGTTGCCTCTTGTGCTGTCGGTCAACTGGGACTTCCATGAAAATCGAAAACCCTTGAATCAATCTGGGTGATTTTTGGATATGTTGGTCACCCAGATCGGGGCTATCAGGGAATGTGAGATTTGTGGGGGTCCTGTATATCTTGGCGTGTTTTCCAAATATTGTAAAAACTGTGTTCCCACTGCCTGGAGATAATTAAGTTATTGCTTTATCTGACCCAATTATCCCTAGGCAGCAAGGAGGGGGATTTACTGTTTGTATTGGGAGTGACACTGTTCTGCTCTGTATTTTTATTGGAGATAATAAATTGTGTCCCTGTTTTCCACAAGGTCCAGGGGGGTGTTCCCCTGACCTGAAAACTTGCATAAAAGCCAGAGTGGCACAATAAGATTTCATTCCTGTTGCACCCCTCATCATGTTTCGGCTGATGGTTGTGTACCTGATTACCGCTTTGGAGAATTTCAGCTTGAGCGCTTCACTTACTCTGGATTATTAGGCGAACGGCGAGCTATAATCACTCTTGCTCTCTGCCGTTCGGTTTAAAACAGACGAACGCCTAGCTACCACTTCAGGGTTCGTTACACAATACTTACCGTAAACCTGATCTAATTCTTAATCTAATTCCAAGTTTTTCTTCTATGCTAATATCAGAACTGGAAATAACAATACTAAACACAGTAGAGAGATAGACTGCTGCCATCTACTGGTTGTTTTCAGTATGACATGCAGATAGAGGTTATCAGAAAAATTGCATGCTAAATACATTGTGCTAGGTGCCAGACAACTGGCAAAGACCAGCACTGATCAAATTGGCAGGGTAGTATGCAGAGAGATGCGGTCAGAGTCTGTTCAGACCCGGGGGGTTTCCCAAAAAACAGCTTCCCACATAGCATCACCGTGGATCAGTGCGACCATTCAGCCCCGATGTTCTCAATTGATAGAAAGATCTGTATTTAGCTCAGACAGAGGAGCCCCAGCTATAAAATTATACTTGAGTCTCCCTGGTGCAAGCCAGGATAACCCTGTTCATACGGCTTTGCTTTCAAAGGGAAGTCAAGTCCCATTTAAAGAGCAGCATGCCACATTGATTTTGTGCTGTATGCAACTCATCTGTCAATGTGGGGCCACTAAAAATGGCCCCAACAAATAGAAAGAAGCCTTCGGTACTGAATGCCACATGGGATTTACTGGTGTCATCAGGGATTTAACCCTACTCACATGCATAGTAGCAACGGGGGATTTAAAATCCCATTTAAATGCTTATATCCAGCTAACTGCATTAGAAATGCACTTACCGTTTCTTCACCACATCCACTGTGCATTTACTCCCACTGAAAAATCTGAAACCAGCAGTTCCACACACAATTACACCACTGATCTGTATTTAGCTATACTGGTTCAATGCTTTATCTACCATGTATAATATGAAATTACAATTTTTCTCCCCCAAACACAGACCAAAGGCACATTACCCTAGCGATGTGAACATGGCCTTGTCGTATAGTTAAACATAAATAAAAAGCTACATAGAGATCTAGATGGTTTTTAATCTGCTTATACAAAGCAAGCATATATCTTTGAACAGGCCAATACAAAGCATGACAATATTTGTAATTTTCGTTTCTCCTTGCGGTCAGTAATCCAATGCCTACAACATCATCTTCTTCCATGATATGCATTCAGGTCAAATTTAACATGCAAGAAAAGCTGTGAGTAACTTGTATCATCAAGTTTTCCAGAGCGGTTTTCTTACTAAATAGCCTGACATAAATTGAAGGTTATTTAGGCAGACTATGCAACATACATTGACATGTTCACAAGGTTAAAAAGTCATGGTCTAGGAAATTACATAAAATCATCATGTATATTTATGGGAGTAGTTGGACATATTGGTGATATACATACTGCATGAAATCATATGATAAAAAAAAGTGCATAAACAGTAACAGTACTAAAGTAATGTTAAATCGACTTCCCTGTACATGCAAACAAGTAGCAATATCTTGGATGACCTATATTTAAAGCAACACTGCACCATAACCTTAACACTGAGCTGTATTGGTTGTGATGCAGAATAGCACTTTAATAAAATGTTTTCATGTGATGTACAGGCAATATATTTCAAAATGTGTAATATGGGTGCATACATGTAGTTAGCTACATAGTAACCATAGCCTGTTCGTAAATATATTCTTTGGTCATGCTTCATTAATCTATTCAAATATAGAAGATGTGAGCTGCAGATGCGAGCTGCAAAAAAGGATTTCAATTTTTTTTTTTGTTGATGTTTTGTGCTGTTGATTTTCCAGGCTTTTCTTGATCCCAATGTTTTCTGTCCAACCCTGAGAATTCAGTGTTTGGGTAACATAACAGAGAGCTGCAACGTACTCTAGAATAAAGAGAAACCAGTATTAAAAGGAGGGCAAATCTGTAAGTATAACATGAAATAAGTGTACTATAAAAAGTGTTTTTAGTTTTAATTAACATATTACACAGTTTTCGCAACTGAACACTATTCCTTTAAGTGAAATATACACATATCCTGTCATTTTCTCCATATCATGTCTGGTGGTAATCAAATTTTAAACAGATAAGGCAAACAAACTATATAAATAAATGGGGAAAAGCAGCACTCTCTCTATGCTTTTTTTGCTCAATAAAAATGTGTCCAACACTAGGACGCGTGTTCAAATAGGCCCTTCCAATCCCAATTGGCTACAACACCTTTTATGACAAAGGCACAAATCTCATTTGATACGGGGTCCCATAATGACTGCTCATTCAGTAATCACAAGATGGTACGATGCATCAGGATGAAAACAGGACCAATATAGGGAAGATGGTAAAGCTCCATCTTTTTAAAAAGGTTAACCATCAGTCACACTTGACAAAGCAAGGAGACTTTGCCATAGCAATTAGTTGAATAAAAAAAAATGAATTAGATTTTCTTAAATGAGGATCATATGTAAAGACCAGATACAAAACTACAAAAAAAAAAAAAGGGAAATTTGTGCAATTTTATTGACGACACGGAGGCTCCTATTATGCACAACTCTTTCTTTATTCCCTCAGCAGCAAAGATAGAGGAATATAAATATTAACAAAATGACATAACAGAGGAAGTGACTATAAAAGGCCTGTGTCTCCCACAATCCCCCGTTCTTTGCTGCTCCCTCAGACTAGCTAATTATTTCGATCCTCTTGTGATTTCATATTCATTGTTTTTTTATCTTATTATTGCTGCCTTTTTCTGTGCATATTTATTGATTACCATACTTATCTACTGTTTATCTGACGTTCTGGTGGTGTGCCTGGGGAAATCCCTTTCTGATTTACTTTTTCCCCCGCCGGGAGATTCCTCTCCATGCTCCCCTGTGCCTGTCACTGTGGGTGGCGTGGGACTTTGGCGCACTCACGGGCTGCCTGCGCGGGTAGGGTGCACGCGCCCCTTCCCCCGCCTGGAGGCAGACCGCGATCGCTATCTGCATGCTTCCACGTGCGGCGGCCATTTTGGAGGCGGATTTTCCTCTCGGCCGGCTTCAGTTTCTCTCCTGCTATACGATTAGCCTGCTGCTCGTTCTTGCAGGCCACTGGGTCCCCTGGGCACACCACCAGCCAGGTTGTTTTCTGTTTTGTTCTCCTGTGGGTTACACCCTGCTTTATGCTGCTCTATTTGTTATCAGAGATTCATGTACATATATTTTGCCAATTTCCCGTTACTATGCAAGACAGGAATGAGGGGCCAGAGGGTCTTGCTGAGGACTTTACCGAAGATAATCCTGAGGGTACTGTAGCCTCCCAAGAATTTCAAGCACCACGGCTGATCCCGGGTTTTTAGGAACTCCTTCTGGATCCGGATAGGAACTCACACGGCCTGACATTACAGAACCAATTACATCTGATAGTGTTGCTCCTTTTAAGGGGACCTTGGAATGTCCCAAACGTTCCACGAGCGACTCTCCTGCTCTTCGATAACGCCTGGGCTCCAGGTACAAGAGCAGCCTATCGCGCTTCATGGAGGTCATGGTCTGGTTGGTGCATGGAACGGTCAATGGATCCCGTGGAGTTCCTCACACACGTTCGATTCGGGTAAGGCGTATCGCACTATCAACCTTTTCTGCTCAGCAATTTCAGCTGGACATAGAGGATTGGATGGTTCGCCCATAGGCAAACATCCTTTTGTGTGTCGCTCGACCTCCTAGGACTCGTTTTTCTGCATTCTGGGATGTCAACGTGTGTTACAATTTTTGTTGTCATGGTACCCAAACAAATCTCTTCTAAGTTGGTGATGCTTCTCTGCTTAATTTCATGTAAGAGGGTGTCTGACGTCAGGGCCCTTGATTCAACATATCCAGAAGGGCTAAAATCAGCATCCAAATCTTTTGTATACCCTAGATTCTCAGGGAATCTGGCACTATGCCCGGTGGAGTGTCTAAAGGTATATCTGGATATTACACGACCTCTTCGTTCCTTGGACTTACATCCGTTATTCATATCATTTAGGTCTCCATATCGGCCTGTATCCACCCCGACTTTGGCTCGTTGGATACTCTGGCTTCTATCTTTAGCTGGCGTTGACACGTCTATCTTCACGCCTCATTCGGTGCGAGGAGCCATGGCATCGAAAGCTTCTACAGTCGGCTGGAGGACATTCTGCGGGTTGCGGATTGGTCTCGGGAGTCGACCTTCCGTGACTTATTTCAGACCGATCAACCACATCGCATCTCAAGTGATAGCACAGCTTTAAACTTGCATAATAGGAGCCTCCGTGTCTTTAATAAAATTCCCAGATTTTACTATTAACATGACGTAAAGTCATGATTTTATTAAAGACACGGAGGCAAGTATTATTCCCACCCGCCCTCCCGGTGTTGGGTCATTAGATGAGATGTGGTTGGATTTTCAGGTATGTTACTGTCTGGTCTGTTTAGTGTGTCCTACGTATCTGTTTTATTATAATGCTGATGTTTAGTTTATATGACTATATACTAATAGTTTTTTCTATGTTATAGGTTGAACTCCTAAGAAACCATTGACATATTTGCCAAGTCTTCAGTTTGGAGTTTGGTTATTACCATATTTCTCTCTCTTTTAAGCTAGAAGTTATCGTTTGGTTACGGTTTCCCTATTCTTGCCGGATGTGATATCGTTTCGTGTTTTCCTGGTCTTCGGTTTTCGTAAGAAAAAGAGGGGGATTGTGGGAGACACAGGCCTTTTATAGTCACTTCCTCTGTTATGTGATTGGTTGCCTGTGTGCCTATACAGTTTTTTTTATTTTGATAATATTTATATTCCTCTATCTTTGCTGCTGAGGGAATAAAGAAAGAGTTATGCATAATACTCGCCTCCGTGTCTTTAATAAAATCATGACTTTATGTCATGTTAATAGTAAAATCTGGGAATTGTGATTTAAAATCAGTCACAATGCAAGAAAGAATGTCAAAAGAAGTTTGTAAAAATGTATACTAACAGGACTGAATTATAATTTTGTGCCTAGAGAAGGAGTCTTTTAAAGATGTCTAGCAGAGGAAATAGTATTACTCGAATTCGAAGACATTTTTAGATTTTGCAGTTTTAGTTTTGAAGGTTGACAGTTTACGGAGCTAGTGTTCTGAAATGTAAAGATGACAGCAATCATTACTACCTTCATAGTGCTGAGTGCTTCTGTCCAGTCCATGGATGCAATTTGAGGTATAGCCGTCAGGAGAATACTTGTTGCTTTATTTGCATTTTCCTTAAGTGTCTTTAGTACCTTGTCTACAGACACCTGCAAATATAAGAGCAAATAAAGTTTATTAACCTGCTAATTATCTATAATGTTATCTAGATAAATCCCCTATGTTTAGACAATATTATAAATACTAGGTTCGAAAGCGGCTTTATAGAGTTCCAGCTTCTGCTGACATGACAGCTGCCGTTTTACCTGGATAGATCACAAATCATTTATTCACTGCTGAAAAAATAATAATAACATATTTAACCAGGAAAGGTACATTCAGATTACTCTGATTTTTTTCTAATACATCCTGGGTATGTTACCTTAGTCTAACATCCAGGGGTTATTACTATTACCCAATTTTATCTACCATGGAAGGATGAAGGGCTGAGTCAACCCTGCCGGGATTTGAACCTGCAAGAATTGAACAGATTCTACTGATGATGCATTAGCCGACTGAGCTATCAGTCTGCATTATATTCGGATTTCTATAGCCAAGACTATTCCAGAGGATTAAGATAGAGAAGCATATTGCACATAAGGACAAAAGATACACTGCTTTCTCATGTCACTCTCACTCATACTCCAAATGCTTTCCTTTGAAAGGTTTTAGTTTGATCGTCTATGTTCTATGCATTCTTTACACCCAAATGCTCACAAACCTCTGTCTTATTAAGAATGAGATTTATAGTTAAATAGTATTCAGATTTCTCTGAACTCATGGTGGTTTCTTAAAGCAGCCTTCATCCAAAAAAATAAAAATAAAAAATGGTTTAGGTCATAAATGGTCATTGCGAAAAGCTCATTAAATAACTTTAAATCCCAGACTTTGTTTCTTAAGATTTGTAGATTCAATGTGAAATTAAAACATTTTTTATAATAGAGAGCAATACACAATGGGCGATCCAGATAATATCCTACCCAGAAAATCACATCAATAGTGACTTCTTGCAGTAAAAATGATCTAGACAAGTGCAATTTAGGAAAACCAATATCCACTCACTGCTTCTTCATGTTCCTTCCAGCAGTCATAGTCTGTTGCCATTGCAATACTTGCATAACAAATGCCAGCTTCTTTGGCAAGAACAACTTCAGGAACCGTGGTCATATTGATGACGTCTGCCCCCCAGAGGCGAAACATGTGGCTCTCCGCTCTAGAACTGAAGCGTGGTCCCTCTATGGTCAACATTGTACCCTTAGTGTGACACTTAATGCCAAGTTTTTTAGCAACATCGATTAATACCTGAAAAATAGCAATAATATAGTTATCCAGTAATAACCTGGACAATTTTATTTAATTTTTTTAAATAATTGCTGTGCAAATCATACAAAAACTTTAGTTTACAGTTTTATATTATTATTAATTATATTATTATCTTATTATTTATACCAACAATATTCCAAGACTTATTCCAATTAGAATGTGAAGATAAAATGAAATCTCCCCAATCAAGTGAATTGGCAAATCTGGTGATTTGAGAGGAGAAAGAAACAACCAAATAAAGCTCTTAGCTTGCAAGTGTGCAAAAAAGAAAAATTAAAAGGGGAGTATATTTTGAGAGCAGCATCAACATGAATTGACCAGACTATAATATAGGTATTCTCTCCCAAACAACATAAAGGAGCTTTATAAGGCATGTCTGGCAAAAATGGATTTCTACTAAAAGGAAATAAGAATGTTGCCACTGGAAATTCTATTTCAACCTAAGAGACACTAATCAACCATTAAAGCTTGCCAGAATGTCCTTGCTTATATCAAACCACTAGAGATGAAGTTAACCCTGACAGGTAATTATTGCAGTTTAACTGCAATAATTACCATTGCAGGGTTAAGGGATCTGGGACATTGCACCAAGACCACATCAATGAGCCGAAAGACTGTTTTGTTATCTCTCTTCTGGTTTATTGGAGTTTTTGATGGTTCTTCAGTAAAGCATAAATGGTCAGGAATTCCATAGGAATTCAAAGTAAAATGCAAACTGTAAAACATTTTGGGGTAAAATTTGAATTTCCCACAACTGACACTAAAAACCCTGCATGCACTTTAACTTTCCATTAAAATCCATAGATTGAATGGACACAGCTGCTTTATGTGTCAATGAAAATTACTCTCGATCACAAAAATAAAAATAAATAAATAAAAAATGCAGGTGAGTAAAGAGATACATTACATTAATATGTGTAATGAAAGCACTTTATCTGTGAAAGGCTTATACTAGCACTCAGATCAATCACTATACAAATACAATTTTTCTTCTTCAATTCTTTATTTGTGACTGACAGGGTGGTACAGATCAATATTTTTACATGTAGTTGTACAATCACAAGGTTCATTTGCAACATTCAGCATCAGGTATCCCTTTGAACAATGGGTCATGCATATAGAGGGACATACTTTAATATCAAACAGTGTTGTCTAGTCCCTCTATGGCCATTTTGTAGCACCCCAAATCAGGTATTTTAATTATACATAAGAAGGTTAAAGAAAAGTAAAAAAGAAAGAAAGAACAGGATGGTTATTCCCTGCATTTCCACTCGTTAACCGTTGAAGTACAGAGTGGGAGCTCCACTCCAGTGAATTATCAGAACATTCACAATTATATCTCCCCTTCGTAGCATATATAAGTGGAGCTACTGCCTACGAATTGTACTTCTTTCGTAACACTGGAATGAGTCCCGGAGGGCACCCCAGAACAACCCAAAAAAATAAAAAATTTCAGATAGAGATAGGAGAATTAGAGAAGAAGAAAAAAAGGCAAAAGTCAAAAGAGAAAAGTAAAAAAAATTTGATTTCGGATAATGCCAGAAAACTTGAGCGGTTTCCACCGACATTCCGGTGGGGGGCGGGGAAGACAGATACAGGAGACCGCGCCATCTGGGCCCTGGGCACTCCGACAAGTCAGCAAAGAACCCCTAGTCCATCAGTTAAAGGACCACTCTAGGCAACCAGACCACTTCAGCTTAATGAAGTGGTCTGGGTGCCAGGTCCAGCTAGGGTTAACCCACTTTTTCATAAACACAGCAGTTTCAGAGAAACTGCTATGTTTATGAATGGGTTAAGCCTTCCCCCTAATCATCTAGTGGCTGTCTCATTGACAGCCACTAGAGGCGCTTGTGTGCTTCTCACTGTGATTTTCACAGTGAGAGCACGCAAGCGTCCATAGGAAAGCATTATGAATGCTTTCCTATGTGACCGGCTGAATGCGCGCGCAGCTCTTGCCGCGCGTGCGCATTCAGCCGACGGGGAGGAGAGAAGGAGGATCGGAGGAGGAGAGCTCACCACCCAGCGCTGGAAAAAGGTAAGTTTAACCCCTTTTCCCCTTTCCAGAGCCGGGCGGGAGGGGGTCCCTAAGGGTGGGGGCACCCTCAGGGCACTATAGTGCCAGGAAAACGAGTATGTTTTCCTGGCACTATAGTGGTCCTTTAAATTGACTCTCAGTCCTTGGTTCCCAAATCCTGTCGAATTTACGGAGTGAGTTCCTTACTTGTGCCATCAATTTATCCATAAGATAAAGCTTGTCTATCACAGTCGACAGCAAGGGGACTTTGGGTTTAAGCCAATCAGGGCTTTAGCTCGTCTAGCTAATAGTGTAATTTTGTGCCGCAATTTTTGTTCCGTTGTATTCCAGCCCTCAAGCAGTCTATTTAACAGGCAGACCCATGGAGTCAAAGTGGGCCTACGTGAAAAGATTCAGTCTAGGATATCTCCAATTTCCCCCCCAAATTATTGTGTTTGTGGGTATTCTTACCACATATAGAGATCCGTTCCTCAGAGGCCGCAGCCTCTTCAGTACTAGTCAGTCGGGGTCTGTTTCATATGACACAGCTTCACCGGTGTAGTATACAAGCGAAACAATCTTAAGCCATTGCTCCTGTAACCCTACACAAATGGAAGAGGTGGCGTCCACATCCCTTATATCCTGCCATTTAACATCCTCCAGTTCTTCCCCAACGTCCGACTCCCATTGTGTGATATAAGACATTTGCCCCCATTCTGACGTTTCAGTGCACAGATGAAAGTAAAGGAGGGTAGTCAGGCCCTTCTGTGGCATCTCACTCAAACACAGACTTTCGTAAAAAGACAACGCAGTGCCAGCACCCTCCCTAACATGTGTCTTAGTTACAAAGTGTTTGATCTGTAGGTATCGGAAAAAAATCTGCTGATGCCTAGTTTTTAGACAGTCAGAGGGTATCAACCGCCCTCCCTCGAATAAGTGGATGAACCTCTGGAGGCCCGTAGCTTCCATGTTAAAAAAGTCCCAGGCTGACATTCCCAGAGAGAATGCTCGGTTCCACGACAGCAGGGTGAGTGGGGAGGGGTGGAACGACAGTTTAAATCTACGAGCGGATGAGTCCCATATCCTAAAAGGAGTTCAGTATGGCTGGGCATGTGGACTGCAATATTGCCCTATGTTCTTTAGGGACCCACATGTAAAACTGGAGGAGGTCCACTCCCATCAATAATGACTCCAAATCAACCCGTTTCCTAACAACCAATGAGACATGCCACATTGCAATTTGGGTGACAAATACAATATCATACATATATTAAACGTGTAGAATCATTTTACAGTCTTTCCATTTTAGTCTTTAGCCAGTCAGGTTACGTTACTCAGACTGTTAAGGCACATGTGTTTCAGGGACCAGATTTATCATCTTTTACAATGTCAAAAAAAAAAAAATAGATCTGTACAGTAACATCTGACCAGCACAATGTACCTCTTCCATCAACATTTGTCTATTTGCTGCCATTATACCAAAATATTCTACAGTGCTTTACAATTAAGCAATGACAGTGTGTTCTTGCATACACACACACACACACACACACACACACACACACAATGTGTATGTAATTGTAAAGGATTCCTGTGAAAATATATTCTGAAGACTATGAAAACATGCAGTCCTGATTTTTATCTGTATTTTTGAGCAAAGTGATAAAAACAAACAAAAAATCCATACCTCTCTTGTTTTGCTACAGAAAGGATCAGACATTGGAATGTGACATACACCTGGTAAACATGTCCCCCCATCGTAGAATGTTTGCTCTCTTTTAGTAGTCCTGGAAAACATATATTAGAGAGTTTACTACGAATTGCATTTAAGTGAAAAGCTGAATAACTATATAATATGGGCTGTTGGAATATTCTATGGATACAGCATAGGGTGTAACTTTCATACAAACAAAAGTCATAAAACAACTATTACAACTGAGAAATTAGGGAGTCTGAAGATTGAAAACGTAGTCTAATGATCTGTTTAACTCCCACACAAATCTGTTTCAGTCTATAAAATACTGTTAAGCATGACACTGTCTTGGAGTATCTACCACAAAATATTCAATTCATTGCTCCTAAGTGCTAAACAGCTCATTGTATTTTTGTTTTCTATTTAGCTCTTGTTTTCTAGTAGCACTTGTTTATACCTACCGGCACTCCCTTAGACTCTCAGCCAGACTGAAAAGCAGGGACAGAGGCGTTGTAAAGGGGGGGCAGGGGCTGCAGAGAAGGGGCAGTATGGTGGGGACAGGAGCTGTAGAGGGAGGACAGGGGAAGTATGGTGGGGGCAGGGGCTGTAGAGGGGGAACAGGTGCAGTATAAGGGGGTCAGTGGCAGTATGGTGGGGGCAGGGGCTGGAGAGAGGGGCTGCTTCTGAGGCTTACCTTGTGCCAGTGAGGGGGTAGAACCTTATCCCTTGTGGTCGGGTGACTGGTGTTGGAGGTTGGAGCTCCAGATTCGCTCAGGACTGCTGAGGAGTCTGGGAGCAGTGGCCATCCTTCTGACATCAGAGGAGGCCGGCTGCCTTCACTGCCAGGCTCCTGCTGTGCTGGCTGCAGGGAGTGCGAGGTGAGTTGAAAAAAATCCAAGTCCCCAGCTAGAGGCAGGGGATTCAGATTTTTGCACCCCCCTGCTCTGGCGTCCTAAAGTGGCCACCTGTGCCACCTTATGGACGCGCCTGCCCTGGGCCTGCTTGAGGTTCAGGCTCCCACTGAGCTGAGTGGCTTTCAGGAGAAGGAGTATAGGGATTGGAGCACGCAAAGCACAATCTAGCACAAAAAAAAAAAAAAAGCAAACATTACTATGGCGGGGAACACATACTAGCAGGGTCTCTTCGTTCTCTGACCGAGAAACATTCAGGAACCCCACAGGACTTCCACGCGGCTAGAACCTCCATAGTATACATACAGGAAACTCATTTTTGGGAAGGCTCCAGGCCCAAACTGACAGACCACCATTTCCCAATGGGATATTACAGCAACCACCGCGCAGGCAAAATGAGGAGGGTGGAGATCCATCTAAACAGGATGGTCTCATTCCATGAGTGGGCACCTCTAACTGATCCAGACGGTAGATACAGGTTTATAAAGGGAACAATAGCCAGGACAAAGTATACTGTTGCAAACATTTACGCACCCAATCAGAGGCACTATAGAGGTCTCTACCGAACGCTCCAAAAAAAACAAAAACAAAAAAACACGCAGAGCTTTTCGGAGAGAATACGGATACTATGGGGGGGGGGGCCTTGAACCGCTCCTGACGACAGTAAGATGCAATCCGGACATAACCGGCGTAGAGACGAGAACCATGCATCACAAGATCGCAGCATATGCTGATGACCTCCTCATCTTTATCACAAACACAGAAATCTCATTCCCAAACATTTTGCAAGCCTTTAAAAAGACTATGGAGCAATCTCCAACTTCAAAATAAACTTTTCAAAGTCCTTTGTTGTAAATATGTCCGTGCCCAGGAACAGAGCTGAAACACTTCGAAGCAGCTATGCGTTTCAATTGGCCAAATCTAAAATCCGCTTCTTGGGCATACGGCTAACCAAGAATAGCGCAGATCTATTTAAAGAGATTTTGCCCCAATGTTGAGCACGCTTAAGAGGGACAGACCGTAATGCTCCTACCCACCCATCTCGTGGCATTAGTAGCTAAAATGAACTTCCTGCTGCGGCTGCTATCTGCTGCAGGCTATCGCCATCCTGATACCACAGTCTTACTTTAACTCCCTACACATGGCACTAGGGAACTGGAAAGGGAAAAAAAATAAATAAATAAAATCTAGTCTAAAGTATGACCAACTCACACAGCTCAGGGAGAGGGGAGGCCTGACATTGCCAGATTTCTTCATCTATGTCGCATGCCATCTCCTTCGGATAGTGGAGTGGTCTAAAAGTAAAGTGAAAAAACTATGGAAAAACAGTACAGGAAGCAGATATAGGCACTCCAGAAGCCCTGATTCCATGGTTGCCTGGAAGGCTGAAGGGAGAGGGCCCTTATTTGCACATGCCACACTACAGGTCTAGCACAGTATAGCAGGAAGGACCCTAGGGCATTTAAAGACTTCTATGAAGAAACCGACCTCGCCACTGGGCATTGGAGAAGACTGATTGCCAGCCTCCTGCCATGTGACTGTGGCCCCTGGGATGTATTGCCCTTTAAACACATGATTTGGGCATATTGGATTTGTGTTGTGCTGCTGCTGCTGGCCCTTTAAGAACCAACTGGGGACATACTGTGGAGGTACTGGGTGGCCACCATTTCATGTATCAGAGGCACATGGTGAGAACAATGGATGGCGGCCATTTTAACTCACAGACACTGTTTGGACTTTTCTACACAGTACCATCTCGCCAGTATTTGGTGCACAGAGACATCGTGCAGTGGTTTTGGACTATACAACAGGGGACACATTATACAGTAATTGTTTTTCATATAGCCTGTATATGTTCTGCAGAATCTGCATTAAACTGTATCTTCAAAAGTACTGAACGGATCTGGGTGAATTTTGGATATGTGGTTCACCCAGATCCCCCAGTTCAGAGGATATACTTATAGGGTTATTGTATGTTTTGGGGTCCCTGTGATGTGTTTTATGATACTGTATTTCTCTGCCTGTGATAATTATATTAGCCATTGTGTTCAGTAATCATATCACGGGCAGAGGGGAGGATTTTGTGTGGGAGTGTCTGTGTGTATTGTATGGATTGATTGGTTGTATTTCAAAACCCTGTGGGCAGTACTAGGTTTGTGGATTGTGAATAAAAGAGACTGTATGTGCCAGTACAGTCAGTCCTGCTTGACCTCAAAACGAAGTGTCGTCTCGTTATTGGGGGAATTGGATTGTATGCTGATTGCCACGAGTGTAAGCTGATTGTATGCTTTTCATGTTCAGCTGCTTACAGCATTCATATGCATCAGAGCATTCATATGCTCCAGTTCGGTGGTTGTGATGTCTGCTGCAGTGCTTGAAGTCCTCAGGAAGCTCTAGGAGCATCCTTCAACGGAGGAACCTAGTCGGGGTGCCAGGTTATCCGTTACAACTTCTTTCCTGACCCACTGTCAAAACTACACCACCTATACTCAGAGACAGGGATGAGAACCCACACCGACCTCTTAGGGGAATCGACCCCGACCTTCATACAACTATTCAAATACCAACAGCTGACAAGTTTTATCAAAATATTACCATAGGGACAGGCGCTGAAACGCGTGCCCACAATATTTGAACAAATATGTATTGATCCGGAGCTGTTACCGCATGGCATGTCCTTCCTATACTCCATGCTGCAAACACGCATACCAGTCGAATCACCAAAATTTATGTGGAAAATGGGAAACTTCCCTGAATCATAGGTTCGGAGACTGGGATTGGGAGAAAATATACTACTTAAAGGACCACTATAGTGCCAGGAAAACACTCTTTTTCCTGGCACTATAGTGCCCTGAGGATGCCCCCACCCTCAGGGTCCCCCTCCCGCCGGGCTAGATGGAGAGGAAGGGGTTAAACTTGCCTCTTTCGCCAGCACCGGGTGGGGAGCTCTCCTCCTCCTCTCCGGCTGAATGCACATGCGCGGCAGGAGCTGTGCACGCATTCCCTGTCTCATAGGAAAGCATTCACAATGCTTTCTATGGACGCTGGCGTCTTCTCCCTGTGAAAAATCACAGTGAGAAGCACGCAAGCGCCTCTAGTGGCTGTCAAGAGGCTGGATTAACCCCAACATAAACATAGCAGTTTCTCTGAAACTGCTGTGTTTATAAAAAAAAAAAAAAAAAAGTTAACCCTAGAAGGACCTGGCACCCAGACCACTTCATTAAGCTGAAGTGGTCTGGGTGCCTATAGTGATCCTTTAACTCACAGGTGCTCCGTCTTCAGTAATGCTTATGAGACGGACGACAAATTGCTAACCAACGGGTACAGCACTCCCTAAATGCACAGACTGACATAAATTAGTTCAATGCATCTTTATTTTTATTCTACATACTATTACAGTTGAAGCTCAAATCTGTGAAATGAGTAGCCAGGCCATTTACCCCAGATCAGTCCACCTAGCTCTACTGAAGTCTCCATAGAATTCACTGGGCCTCACAGCATCCATATAAATTTGCTGTTGGCACATTCTCATGTATATTCACCACAATACCTATACTCGGAAAACAGATTCCCAGTTACACAAATAGATAATATGCAAGCATTCTGCATACATTTAAGTCATGTCTTACCGGTCAATAAACTGATCAAGCATTACTACATCTCCAGGCTGAATCTCTTCTCTCAAAGATCCACAAGCTGTAGTCACCAATATGTGAGTACATCCTTCCATTTTTAAAGCCCAAATGTTGGCACGGTAGTTAACATTTGTTGGAGCAACTGTATGCTGCCTTCCATGTCTGTAAAAAGATGAAGATGACTATCAAAATGAACTAATTTTCAACTGTTAGGGGACAGAAGCATAAAACATGAAAATAAATAAAAATATAAGAAGTTTATAAAGCACTATATAGAGAAATAAAACAAAAGAAAAGAAAGCAAAGTCACAAGAAAATGACAAGGTTAAGTTCACATAGGTACAGTTATGGAGACCTTGAGAATAGAACAAGAGCAATGATAAGAAAGTAATTCATCTGGTGCAACAATTTGGTGATATGAAAACAGTATGTGCTCTGATTATTCGGGAGGGCAGTAGTAATTAGGTGGTTTTAACATTGTATGAGAGTGATGGCTAAGATTCTGCTTAACTCAAGTAAATTCCCAACAGTAGATCATTTTTCTACCTTACACATACTACAACCCCCATTACCCCTACTACAACCCTCATTATCTCTCTACACTTACTACAATCCCTATTACCCCTTACACATGCTACAGCCCCTATTACGCTCTACACATTTTACAACCCGTTACCAACTACAGCCTTTATTCCTTCCCTGCACCCTCAATAGCTACCCCCTGCCTCCCACAATTCCCCCCCCCCCATTACCCCTTTCCCATTATAGCACTTATAACAACTACATGACCCTGTGTTCACACACACACACACACACACACACACACACACACGCGCAAACTACATCCAAATATGGCCTTGAATTTACACACACATACAGATCCTCAATACAAATATGTCCCTGCATACATACTAGAATTAATTAAAAAAAAAACCAAAAAAAAAAAAACACCATTTATGTTACCGGCACCCCCTTACCCCTCTTGAAAAGGTAATAAACTTGCCTTTATTTTAGTGCCACACAGGCTCGGCCCATGCTCTGGCCCCTTGACTGAGATCATCAGAATGGATGATCAGCCATTCCTCTCCCATAGGAAGCATTGATAAGCTAATTGGCACGCATGGCAGAGCGCTGCGCCAATCAGCATCTGCTCATAGAGATGTATTGAATCATTGCATCTCTGTGGGAAAGGTTCAGCGCCTCCATGCAGAGTATGGAGACACTGAACGTCAGTGCTGCACATTGTCTATCACTGACCCAGGAAGCACATCTAGTGGCCTTCTGAGTGACTGCCACTGGAGTTGTCCCTACGTTGCAATGTAAACACTGCCTTTTTTCTGAAAAGGCAGTGTTTACATTAAAATGCCTGTAGGGACTGGGTATACATACCAGAACAACTACATTAACTTATTTATATTACTCTGAATCCACACATCCTGACACTACACACCAAAACATACATATATTCACTTAAACCAGGGCTCACAGTGAATATACACACAGAAACATACATTCACTTTACATGCATATAGAATCAAATACACGGTACATACACCATCTTATACACCAGCATATATATTCAGCCGGGGGCCCAGGTCCTAATTTTGCCCGATGGCCCAGGCCACTGTCAATCCCCCATGGGAAAGCATTAAATGGCTAAAATTGGCAAGTGGTGGGGCCAAACACCATTTTGGCCAATCAGCACCTCCTCTTAGAGATGCATTGAATCAATGCGTCTCCATGCAGAGTGTGGGGATGCTGAACGACTTACTGTGCAGCCCTGAGCCAGGAAGCCCCTCCAGTGGCCACTTGGAGGTGTCCCTTGGGGCAATGTAAACACTGCCTTTTCTCTGAAAACATGAAAATGCCTGAAGGGAGCAATTATATGTACCAGAACAACTACATTAAGCTGTAGTTGTTCTGGTGACTATATGGTCCTTTAATGGAGAGATATATTATTTCAAAATATTAGTGTACTTTTAAATCTTATGACAGACATTGTTTAAAAACATATTTATTCAAGAAATAATATATTACCTTGCAAGTAGCACGCAATCAACATTTTTTATTTTTCCCAGAACCAAGGCATCTGAAGGCTTAACAAAAAGAAATATATCATGTTAAATAGCAGTCACCAGAAATTATTATATAACTTTACCAAAATGATAAAAGCAAACAAAACGCTATAGACAGTTGTCAAAAGATATTAGGTTAAAATCTTAGGGACCTAGAGATCATAATCTGCTCACTATAAATAAATAAAAAAAACTTTCTGGCTTTAGGCAATAGCAGCTCTAGAAGACATGCTCCAAATCTTGAACTGAATATTCTCGTCACTGCTTTAGTGCAGTGGTTCCCAACCAAGTCTTCAAGTATCCCCAAACATTCCAGGATTTAGGGATTACCCAATGGTGTCTAAAGTGTTAACCCCCCCCAAAAAAAACCAAAAACAGTTTAGACACACCCAGGTAATCCTTAAATCCTGGACCGGTAGGGGGTACTTGAGGACTGGGTTGGGAACCCTTTAGGGCAAGCAACACTGTTATAAAGGGGATTACTGGACATAAACAGCATATCATAAAGCATTCAGAAATATATTAGAGTAACACTATAGTGTCAGGAACACAAACGTGTATTCTTGGCACTACAGGTGTGAAAAGTCTATTCATGTGTCCAGCCACCCTTATCCACCGTTAACAATGTATTTTAATGGTCTTATTTTCAGCACCGTGTGGGTCTGGCCCTGCCCATGCTCCACCTCGTCGGTGGAAATTATCAATTTCCATTTATGAAAGCATTGAGAGTCTATCGCGCATGCACATCAAAATGCCGCTCTGTGCCAATCAACAACTCCCCAAAGTGGAACGTTCAGCACCTCCAGGCAAAGTGTGGAGACGCTGAATGTCAGTGCTGCACATTGTTCTGCACATCTAGTGGCTGTCTGAATGACTGCCACTAAAGTTGTTCCAACACAGTAATGTAAACACATGCTATACACCAAAACTACATGAAGCTGCAGTTCTGGTGTCTATAGTATTCCTTTAAAAACCATGATAAAAAATGGTAAGCCATAAGTTACTACTCAGAAAGACAAAACATGAGGAGCATTGTATTTCACATTGAGAGCGGTTTGACATCATGGGCAGAGGTGTGGGTGGAAGCTACGATGGAGTCTCAAAACAAAAGGTTAGTAAAATGCATCTTTGTTGGCGATTACAGCCACAAATATTTTTTAGTATGATGTGACAAGCTTTGCAATACTGGATTCAGGTGGTTTCTGGCATCCATGTCTGCAGATCCTCTATAACTGTCAAGAGATGTTCAATTGGTATCTAAGGTGGACCACTCAAGGACATTCACAGAATTGCTGTAAGCCACTCTTACATTACATTGACTGTGTGTTTAGCATCATTGTCCTCTTGAAAGGTGTACCTTTGGCCCAGTATGAGGTCCTAAGCGCTCTAGTTTTCATTAAGAATATCTCAAAATATGTAATTTGCGGTGTTACGTTTTCCCTTGACCAGTCTTTCAAACTGCCACAGAAAAACCTCCAAAGCAAAATGCTACAATCAACATCTTTCACTGGATGGCTTTGCAAAGATGATTATTATTACTTCAGATCAGAGAATCCTGTTTCTCTGTCAGATTCATTTAGGTGCTTTTTTTCTTCTTCAAATTTCAAGTGTGTCACGCGTTAAGGAGATGCTTTAGTCTGGCAACCCTGTTAAAGTAAAGATCGGTGGAGTGTTGCAGTTATGGTTGTCCTTTTGCACGTTTCTCCCAACACCACACATGATCTCTGGAACTCACCCAACGTGACCACTGGGTTTTGGTCACCTCTCTTACCAAGGCTCAGTTTGGTTGGGTGACAAGGTCCAGAAAGGGTCATGGTTTTTTTTTTCCCCAAGACTTATGGGAAGCCACTGTGCTCTTGGGATCCTTGAATGCAGACAATTTTTTTTAGCCTTCCCCAGATCAGTGCCTCAACACAATCCTATCTTGGTTTGTACTCTATGTATTTACAGCTTGGAGACGTTGTATAGAAAGGTGTGTGCCTTTCCAAAGCAATTGAATTTGCCATAAGTGGACTGCGATCAAAGTGTAGAAACAAAGATAATCCAGAGAAATTAGATGCATCTGAGCAGGATGCACGTGTCATAGCAAAGGGTGTGAATACATATTTCAATGTGATATTTCAGATATTCTTTTTAATAAATTTTCAAAAATATATTTTTTTGCTTCTAAATAAAGGGTATTAAGTGTAGATTTATGTAAAAAAACAAAACACACATAATTGCAACATAAGGCTGCAGTATAAAAATTAAAAGGCATCGGAATACACTGTAGAAAGGGGACATGAAAGGGAAAAGCAAGGAGCAATGATGGTGAGAGGTGACATGGAAGCGAGGATAAGATGCATTCACACACAATCAACACAAACACACTACTGCATTGACATGCAGACATTCCACACAAATACAACCCTTACTATAACACTATATATATATATATATATATATTTTTTTTTTTATTAATTAGAGACCTGCGTTCACAGACACTTTATTTTAAGTTAAAATAGACAGAGAAACAACACATACAGCCAAATAAAGTAGTATGAACCTTTCCAAAGGGTGTTTCTACGTATTTTTCTAGTCTTCCTTCCAGTATATCAGGGTCATCCAGTCCGGATCCACCGATTATTCCAACCTACAAAATTAAAAACACAAGTGGTAGTATATAGACTGGATAAAGACAAATTCTAAACAACTTCTTGTAAAGTTAGCATGTTAAAGTTCTGTTAGTTCCAATTATCCCCATTACCACCTTTTATTCCTCATTCTTCGCAGCACCGGAACCTTATTTAGCGTGCCACTCAGTTTCACAGAGTTTGACTCTAATTAATGGCAGTGGCATTTTGTCAGTGCCTTCATCTGCCCGGAGTATGCAACAGGGTCTAATTCCAGTGCATACAAGATGGATATCAACACTATGCGGTCATTGGGCGTACTTAATGGATGCCCCGTGGCCAGATTTGGCAACAAAGGAATTGTGGGGAGGCACTGGAGGAGACAAAGCAAATCAGTAGTAATAAAGGTGAGAACTCTTACTAGCAGTGCAATGTGTATTTTGTTGCAAGCAACAAAACATTTACTGGGATTACGCAGCTCTCAAAAATTATGCAAGTTGATCTTGCGATGCTATGGAGAAATGACTGGATGGAGTATTGTGGAAAACTTTTACTTTAAAAAGGATGTAGAGCTTCCTTAACCCCTTACGGCAGTCTGTATGTAGCCCTTAAATTAGTTCAATTCAGCATTTTCCTTTTTACAGAGTATTAAGGAATTGTAGGTTGCCATCAAATGTCCACTTGTTATAGCATGCTGATTTTATGCATGATTAGGTATAGCTTCAGCAATTAATCAAACAGGCCGATACCCCTCGTGCTTATTGTACTGCTGTATGCAGACTGGCACAGGTTTAGTTTCCCGTCTACCCCAAATGGTGACCATATGCGTGTTCACTGTGGGTGATGGTTAGGAGGAACTACTCATTTTTGTCCTTGTACTTCAATGCCAGCAGTCCTTCCTGGTTTTGTGCCAGATACAGTGTGCCGTAAAGATTAGTCTGGGAGACAATGTCCCATAAAATATCAGCCAGTATGCCAGGACTTGCAGTTAAGGCAAGAATATCAGGTGTAAATTCTTTAGAAGGTACCCAGTCACCTTCCCAGGGGAATCAGCGCTTTCCCTGCAGTATCTGGCAAATGGTCACATCCACTAGCAAAACTCTCTGAGTGTGTCACCTCTGGTTCTGTCTTTAAAATTACATAAGCCTCCTCAGAAGAAAACCCATTTAAACATTGTGTTCAAAGTAAAATTTAAGGAAATAAACTTTTTGATTTTTCCAGTTTTCAACCCTAACTTAATAGTAAATTGCCCAATTCCCCCTCTATCTACTACCCACTCCAATTAACTAAAATCACAAAAAGTAAAAACAATTAAATAAATTCAACCCTTAAAATATAAAATCACAGTAAAGTAAGCAGTGATCAAAAGGCACAGAAAGGTTTTTTTTTTGTTTTTTTTTTAAGAGAAGAATCATTGAATGCAATGATGCTCTATACCAAACCATGACGGCATTGTGCATGCGTGCATTAGGTCACAGTATGCTTGGATACGAGAGCTAGGAAGTAACTGTTTTAGCTCTACTATCCCGAGGGCTTGCTGGCACAACTTCTATTAGATGGAACACTCCAAGCACCATAGCCACTACAGCTCGCTGGCGTCCTGGCACTCCCCTCCCTATTGTATGCAATCAAAACATTATGGAACGATTTGACTTCTGATCTGGAGTTCTCCAGGCACTACTCTATACCGTCCTTATGGGTTTCCTAAGCAATTGCAAAATGTTGGAAATTCAGGGAACTTCAGATTTTAGTCCAAAACATTAGAACTGAAAACAGCTAATTTGGAGAATTTTTTTTCCAGTTGATCTGTTTTGGTCTCATGTTTGGAATACGATTTAGTTAGTGTTTTCGCTAGATGCTAGTTTGTTGCAGATTGAAATCCCAATGGCAGAATTCTGGTAAGGACTGAAAGCCAAACTAACTTTAAGCCAAGTAGACTTTCACCTATGAAATATCAGCCATTTTTCCTAAAATTTGCCATGCACACATCATTTAGCTACAATGGAGAGTTAAATGAAACCCCCCAAACTGCAGTAGTAGTCTGAAATGTAACAAAACCTTTATGGAATTAACAACTACGTATATAAGATCACAACTTTTTTAGCCAGAGCTCACATGACTGGAGCTAGTTTTAGCACATAAACTAGAAATAAATATGTGTGCAGCCTTCACATTAAACAGCAGCATACTTGTCTCACAACATTGATATGGCTACAGCTCTATTAACCCACTCCTCACTGTGCTACACTGTTCCTCGTGTCTGCATGCTGTATTCTAAAGCATGGAACGCGGATAAATTATAGAACAGGAAGAAACCTCACATTCTTGTTATTCTCGTTCTATGATGTATTGTTACAGTGTCCTGGGGGAGTAACATGTCCTCCATGGCCTGGTAGGCCGCTGCTCGACTCCCAGCTGAAAACACATTGTGACAGACAGCATGTTGCCTGGCACGGAGTACACAATGACAGGTAGAGCAGACCATGGGCACTGAAAGTATAGTAGTTAAATCACACGTTGTAAAGACAGCGGTCGGGCTGAATAAAGGGGAGGGTGTACGTTCCAATAATTGCAGGCTGTTGGCCATCCGTGCATTAATACAGGGCGATCTCTCTGGGTGGTGACACCGCATGGCACACAATGTATACAGACCAGCCTCCATCAGTCATTGACATGCTGGGACAACCGCCTTCATTCCCTGTGTGATCTAGGTGAGGCCAAGGCACGCGATCACTCCCTCCGTGCCGGCAATGTCACACAATGACAGAGACTTAAAGTGCAAGCTACACACCAGGACAACCACAGAGCTAGCTGCCAAGCTCACCTTTACACTATGCGACTCAGCCATGGCAGCACGATGGAGAGAGAGGGAAAAGGAGCGACCGCCTCCTTCCGCATTTATGGTCCCGCCTCAAACCTGCAAGCTCTGTCAATTTGATCTTATTTTCACCTCTTGCTCAAAACAACGCTATCTGCTGCCTGTCCCCTTCTATGTACTCTGGTATGTGTATTGTGGAGTGGTATAGCAAACCATAGCCCTGCAGGTTTTGTAATTTCCACACTGTTAAATTAGTCATTAATAAACATGGTGGCTCACATTTGCTAAGAAAGACCAAAATGAAAATTGATTAACTTTACAAAAACATGACAATTTACGTGACTTTTCCAAGCCTGGTTAGTTACAAGTGAAGAGCTAATCTCAGGGATACTACCCAATTGCCCATTTATTTGGGAGGGCCAGTCCCCATCAGACTACTACCTCCTATCATTTGTTCTTGAGTGCCCCACACCCTATATCCCGAACCTAATCCCCCTCTACTCAGGTGGAATTTAAATACTCTTGGTCTCCAACAGCTCTTGACTGATATCCATTCTGAACTCATTCACCCCTACCCTCTCCTGTACCTCTCTGGCTATCTCCTCATATTACGCTACCCTCACCTCTGCCCTAGATGCTGCAGCCCTGCTCCAAGCACACACCTCAAGGAGGGTGCGCCTCCAACTGTGGCACACTAAGTCAACCCGCTACCTGCAAAGATGATCCCGTTCAGCTGAACGCTGCTGGAGGAAGTCTCGCACCTTGTCAGGCTTCCTACACTATAAATTTGTCTTGCGTTCATACAGTGCAGCCCTCACCCATGCTAAACAGTCCTACTTTTCCTCTATCATTAGTTCATGCTCCTGCAATCCTAGTCATCTGTTTAACACTTTTAACTCTCTTCTTCGCACTGCTGTGACCACCCCATAAACTAATCTGATAGATGATAACTTTGCATGTTACTTTACTGACAAGATTAAACAGTTAAGGAATGAATTCTCCCCCTTTCTTCCCTCTCTATCTCAACCTCACTTGGACCATACCATCCCCACCCTCCAAGACTTCTCTCTAGCTACTGAACAGGAGGTGGCTGTGCTTCTCCTTTCCTCTTGACCCACCACGTGTCCTCTTAATCACATCCCGTCCCACCTCATCAGATCTCTCGCCCCTTGTCTGGTGCAGTCATTAACGCACATCTTTAATTGTTCTCTTTCTTCTGGTGTTGTCCCAGCTCCCCTTAAACATGCTATTGTTGTACCTGTCCTCAAAAAGTCATCTCTTGACCATACCTCCCTTTCCAACTATCGTCCCATATTCCTGCTCCCTTTATTATTATTATTATTGCCATTTATATAACGCCAAAAGATTCCGTAACGCTTTAAAATAATATGAGAGGGGGGGATGTAACTATAAATAGGACAATTACAAGAAAACTTACAGGAAAAATAGGTTGAAAAGGACCCTGCTCAAACGAGCTTACAGTCTATAGGAGGTGGGGTATAAGACACATTAGGACAGGAAATATCAATCAAATAAGGTGGGAGTGAAGCAGAGCTGGAGGAGAAAGTAAAGCGCTGCCCTATAGGAGAGGACAAGAGACAGGTATGTAAGGTAGAGGCTACTCTGGGAGGCCTTAAGCTCTCCTAAAGAGATGGGTTTTAAGGCACTTCTTAAAGGATTGAAGACTAGGGGAGAGTCTGATCCCCCATAGGGGAATAGGCAAGCTATTCCATATGAAGCTTTTGGAAAGACTTGTCTTTACCCATCTGACTGACTTTCTCAATTCCAACTCTCTCCTTGACCCTCTTCAGTCTGGATTCCACCCCCTCCACTCCACAGAGACTGCTCTGACAAGAGTTACAACTTATCTAATTGCAGCTAAATCCAAATGCCACTACTCCATACTAATTCTTCTTGACCTCTCTGCTGCCTTTAACACTGTTGCTCATGGCCTCCTTCTCCTAACTCTTCAATCTCTTGGTCTAGGTGACACAGCCCTCTCATGGTTCTCCTCCTATCTCGCCCAACACTCCTTCAGTTTTTCTTTTTCCAACAACACCTCCTCTCCTCGCTCTGTCTCAGTCGGAGTCTGTGGCGAACAGAACCTCGCCAAAGGCTTTTGGAGAAGTCTGCTTGCCAGCCTCCTGCCCCAGGACTTTGGGCCCTTCAAAAACTTATGTGATTTATGTACTTTTGTGCTCCATAAAGGGAGACCGACGGCTGGCCTTAATTCCCTGGAACTGTTTTGGGCATAGGACCATGTGCACGGTCGGTCAAAATGATGATTTCCATGGAAATCCCAAACCCCTGAGTCTCGTCTCATATGTGGAGGGGACAGCTATATTCACTCTGGGGATTGCTATATCACTATACTCCCCTGGGATTATAATCACTTGTTCTTTTAAGAGCATATTGCTACACTCTCCTGGAGGAGAGGTCTGCCCACTGGAAACTGGATCCTGGTGTTGGGTCCAGGGTGGGTGGAGGACAGAGAGACCCCAACCAACCTGTAACGCTGGAAGTGGGGACTACACTGCTGATGGTGTCTGGTGGAGTGCTTGGAGTACTTGGTGAGCACTAGGAGCATCGATTGGCGGAGGCACTCGGTCGGGGTGCCAGGTGGTCGGTCCCTCAATGTTCAGTTCTTGGTCCCCTTTTGTTTTCTCTCTATACTGCCTCTCTTGGCAAACTCATTAATACATTTGGATTCCACTACCACCTGTACGCTGACAAAACCCAGATATACCTCTCCTCCCCTGACCTCTCCCCTGGTGTCCTACAACGTGTCACCAATTGCCTTTCTTCTATCTCTGATTGGATGTCCTCCCGCTTTCTGAAACTCAATCTCTCTAAAACTGAGTTTCGTATTTTCCCTCCTCATAACACTGACCCTCCTCCTTCACTCTCCCTGCAGGTTGACAGTACCTGGCTTACCCCATCCTTTCAAGCTCGCTGTCTTGGTGTCATTTTTGATCCTGGCCTCACCTTTGCGCCTCATAAAACCATTGCCTGCCTACACCCCTTTCTTACGCAAGATGCTACCAAAGAGCTTGTTCATGCTCTAGTAATCTCTCGCATAGATTACTGTAATTCTCTCCTAATTGGTCTCCCCAGAAGCCATACTGCCTCCCTACAATCTGTGATGAATGCTGCTGCCACGCTGATCTTTCTCTCCTGTCGCTCCTCTTACACCTCACCCCTTTGTCGAACTTTACACTGACTTCCTGTACCCTACAGGTGTCAATTTAAAATACTAACCCTTACCTATAAAGCTCTAACCAACTCTAGCCCCTCTTACATTTCTTCACTGATTCATATTAATGCCCCCTCTCGGTCTCTCCGCTGGTGACCCTTACTGCAAATTCACGTATGCAAGACTTCTCACGGATGGCTCATTTCCTTTGGAACAGCCTGCCTACCCCTGTCAGACTCTCCCCTAGTCCTCAATCATTTAAGAAGTCCCTCAAAACCCATCTTTTCAGGAATGCTTATGGCCTCCAAGAGTAACTTCTGTCTCTCAAACCTTCCTCTTGCTCTCTCCTAAAGGGCCACACTCCACTCTCACATCCAGTACTTTCCCACCATGTCTATTTGCTGCCTCCTGCAATACCCTTCCTATTGTGTTTTTATACCCCACCTCCTCTAGACTGTAAGCTCGTATGAGCAGGGTCCTCAACTACCTATTGTTCCTGTTACATTTTGTTATTGTCTCATTTGGTAACTTCCCCTCTTATTGTAAAGCGCTGCAGAATAAGCTGGCGCTATATAAATAATAACTAGTAATAATAATAATAATAATTAAAAGGATATCACAGTACAGCAATGATACATAAGCTAGTCTTCTTTTCTATCCTGATACCCCTCTTTTCTAGGAGGTGGTGAGCTTCACAGCAATACATCTCACAGTAGTGTATCTTTAACCCCTTAATGCCGTTACGGCGTTCTATGCCGTCCCCATTTAAATGGGCATTAAAGCCGTTGCGGTCCGCTCTGGAACCTCGTGAATACTTACCTTCCCGGCGACTGCCTGACAGCTCAGCTCGGGGGCCACATGGCCCCCTATAGCTGACTGTGGATCTGCCAGCAGGGAGACTGTCTGGGTTGTCAGACAGTTCCCCTGCTGGTGGGAGGTGTAAAAAAAATAATTATTAAATGTGAGAAAACCAGCATTTCCTAAACTTTGTTCGGACAATATTTTGGTTATTTCCCCATTTTTGTTTATTTGTTCGGTAGTTTTCAAACTACCGAACCACCGACCACCCCTCTGGCTCATTATTACAAAAGGAAATCATCAATTAAGTGCTCTCTCTGTGTGGCCAGCGTTCGTATAGCCGAACACCACGTGGAAGAGAAAACAGTGGCCAGCTTGTTTGCACGAAAGGAGGCAGCTTAGTCGTCGAGTGTCTGGAACTAAAATCGACACTAGACTTCCTGAACACTGGTCAAAATAAGAAACGCCTGCTCACTTTCCCTAGGAGAGCGCTGTTCAGTAGTTTGGTTCCCACGAACCAGGGGAACGATCGCTACTATGAGCCCGACGATTCCGTTCGTGCATTTGTTCAGCTTTGTGACTTGACAAAATAGACCGACCGCACAACCTAAACACATGGAACTGTGTGCGGTCGATCAAATGGAACTTACATGAAATTCGAAAACCCCTGAACTGATCTCGGTGATTTTTGGTTATGTTGGTCACCCAGATCAGGGCTGTCAGGGGATGTGACATTTATGGGGGTCCTGTATCTTTTGGCGTGTTTACTAAGTTTTGTGAAAATTATGTTACCTCTGCCTGGAGATAATTAAGTTATTACTTTATCTGACCCAATTATCTCCAGGCAGAGAAGAGGGAATTAACTGTTTGTACTGGGTGTGTCATTGTTTGTACCTGTACTGTCATTGGCTGTAATAATTTATATCCTTGTCTTCCATTAGGTTCCTCTGGCCTGGAGAATTGTATAAAAGCCAGTGTGGCACAATAAAGATTCATTCCTGTTACACCCTTCATCAAGTTTTGGCCAAAATTGGCATTCAAATTAGTTTTTTGCATTTTTCACACACAAACAAATATTAACACTAACTTTGGCCAGTGTTTGTGACCAAGTGGCTACTAAAAAAGACTAGACATACCCCATTTGCAA